ACCCTACGGCCATCGCTACACGAAAGAAAGTCCGTTTCTCATCCGCTGTGCCTGACTCGAAGCCCACTTTCCCCTCTCTCCACATGGGATGGAGGTATCCCGAGACGGGACGGAGCTCAGCCCACAGCACCTCTCGCACCCAAGGTCCTCCCCACGCTGCAGTCAAGGGGCTGCTCCAAAACACCGACGTTTTCTACCGCTACGGTTACACAAACCACCCCCTTGCCACAGCCTTTCCGTAGCGGGTTTTCCTGGATGATTTCTTTCTCCAGTTTCAACCACTTGGAAGAAGATCCAAGCAGCTACATCACTTTGTTACCCACACATGGTGTACCTTCTAAGATGAAGAAAGACTTCAACTCCAACTCTACCAGCCTACTAACACCTTTGTGCGTGTGATGTGCACGCACACACGTATCCACAGTAAAAGATCAAAATTAACCCACACCAAGAGGTCCCACAAGCAGAAGACAATGTGGTTTCTGGCAGCACCGTGGTTTTCTCCACGCTGTTACCGCATCTCTCCCGCCTGTGGGATGCTCCACATCCCACGACAACTTTTACAACGAACTTCAGGCCTGGGACAGCCACTAAAACAAGTTGGTCATTTACTTATCTCCTTTAAACACCATCAGCTGCTTTCACCAGGACCTTCAAGAGCACCGCCACGCTGCCAAACCCACCAGCTGCCAGGTTGGATGGGGCTTTGAGCAACCTGGTGTAGTGGAGGGTGGTTGGAACCAGATGATCTTTGAGGTCCCTTCCAACCCAACCCATTCCACGATTCTATGACTTACTGCAATCAAGCCCATCCTAGAGAAGATGTTAGGGATGGAAAGCCGTGAGGCCAGCGAGCTCGGGCTGCAGGCAGCTCCTGGCACTGCTGGGGACACAGAAGACGCCACATTTTTTTTTTGCTTCCCCCCCCTCCATCTCCGCAACCAGCAGTGCCACCGGTTTGGCTCTTCCACAAACAACAGCTCTGCCCCGAGGTAGAACGAAGATATGAATCGTTCCCCCCAGCCCGGGAGTGGAGATGATAAATAATAGTTATCTTCAGAGAATCCAACTCACTTTGAAGTTCTATTAATATTTTAGTTCTTTCCATCTCTTTAAACAAGACCTTGCCGCAGCGCTCGGCAGACCGGAACGGGGAGGAAAACGGGTTGGAACTAGATGATCTTTGAGGTCCCTTCCAACCCAAACCATTCGATGATTCTATGATTCTACGAAAAAAACCAACCCCAACAAATAATAAATCCTAAAAAGTGCACGGGAGGTGGGAACCGGCTCCGCTGTCGATGTGTCTCCCTTCTCCATCACGTGCAGGTATCCAAGCGTACGTGCACGTACTCAAACCTGAAGGACAATCTGCTCGAGATAATTCTTTGGTTGAATTATTCAAAAGGAAAAACCATGAGAAACCCCAGTTCTGTGGGATTTTTGGGGCTATTAAGGTTAAAAAAAGCTTCTGGAAGATCAATAAATACAGGTAACAGTATGGAAGGATCAAAATCGTTGCTGTGCCGGTCCCTCTGGAGGCACGTAAGCACCGGGCTGACGGACACGGCACGGAAACCTGGACAGACAACATCTGATTTTACCTTTCTACGAGTTTTTGATGGCATTTTAAAAATTTCAGGTGCTGGAAGAAGGCTAGACCTTGTCTTTTCTCTTAACTTTGCATTTTCCTTTTCATATCCAGTAACAGGTATTCAGTACAAGCGTCAGGTTTTACTGGTTACACTGGTTTGTGCGTATCCCGGATTATCTGCGCTATCATCTCGATGGGAAGCTGCTTTTACAAAAAACACGTGGAAATTAATTCTTGAATACTCAGCATTTCATGATGGGGATGTACCTGTGGTTACATAAAGAACGCGACGCTGGCCAAAAAATTCCCAGTTTCACCTCG